AGCAGGCAAAGTCACTTCTGGGGGCCTCAGCTTCCTCATCTGGGAATTGCAGATGTTAATGCCACCTACCCTAAAGAGTTGTCGTGAGGATTAAATTACATAGTGCATGCAAAGTGCTTAGCATCGAGCCGGGCACAGGATTACGTTCCATAAATGTAAGCTACTAAATTGAATCGCCTAAAACCACTCTCCAAAACGCCGCAGGGCCCTGGCCAGTGTTGACAAACTGCGATCGTACATTTACAGGCTCTCTGTAATGACACATCTTACTTTATGAAGGCTGAGGATTATGATTTAATCCCTAGAAATAACCACAAGATGAAACAGCGAGTCCTTTTGTACTGGACTCACTGGAGGCTATTAAAAATCAGGAGAAAGCAGTGACAAATGGTCTCCAAGGGGAAGCAGAACTAATCTCCATTCTGCTTTAATACGATGAAAATTTTTTAGAACTTCAGATCATCTATGCTTTTTGATGGAAGACAAGAAAAAGGAATCTATACACCTGAAACTAACATGATATTGCAAATCCACTAAACTTCAACTTAAAAAAATAAAAATAAAATACTATTGAACTAAAGAAAAAAAGAAAAAGGAATGTAGAAAGTTCAGATTCAGTCACACAAGATTCCAGGGCGAGCATCCTGAAGGAATCTCATTTCTCCGCAAATGCAATGAAGTGAAATGAAATCTCGGGGCCTCTAGTCCTGGCCTGCTGCCTGACTTTGAGGACGTGCAGCCCTTCCAACAGCCACACTGACACTGGTGGTGTCAGAGCTCTGCCCTCCAGTTCAGGCAGAGGGAATGCTTCCTTACTGGTGACACAGCAGCTGTTTAAAATGCCCTATAGTTCAAACCTGTTTTCAGATTTGACTCATTAAAATAACGCCTACTTTGGGAATCTAAAGTTATACAATCTGCTAGCCACTCAGATTACTTTACCTCTCTGACCCTTGGCTTCTTGACCTGTAAAATGGGGGGATATTGTCAACAATAGCTAGAAAAATCAAACTAGATAATGCACGCGAAACCATCTGAAACATGCGACACATTACTGCATGTAAATTTTAATTGATATATGTTTTTTGTTTTTGTTTTTGCGGTACACGGGCCTCTCACTGTTGTGGCCTCTCCCGTTGCGGAGCACAGGCTTCGGACGCGCAGGCTCAGCGGCCATGGCTCACGGGCCCAGCCGCTCCGCGACATGTGGGATCTTCCCGGACCGGGGCACGAACCCGTGTCCCCTGCATCGGCAGGCGGACTCTCAACCACTGCACCACTAGGGAAGCCCCCTGATATATGTTTTGACTGTATATAGTTAACTTAGATATTTGTGAGACTTAAAATAGATAATGTGGGGAATTCCCTGGCGGTCCAGTGGTTAGGACCCGGCGCTTTCACTGCCGTGGGCCCAGGTTCGATCCCTGGTCAGAGAACTAAGATCCCACAAGCCACGAGGCCAAAAAGAAAAAAAAGATAATGTGTGTGAAAATTGCACACACACTGCATGGAACAAAAGGCCTCCATAAACGGGAACTAAGAAGCAGCTGTGGCTTTCGTCATCTAAGGTAGCTCTACTGGTAATATTTTTGTCTTAGTTTGTGACCTCATATGCCACCAGCTGCAAACGTTTCTTCATCTCAGCCCTTGTTTAGGTCTTGGCCTCAGAGAAACAGGTGTCCTTCCTGCTGCTTAGGGCCAGTGCCACACCTGTATCCTGGACGCAGCTTCCACATCTCCCCAGGGACCTCCCTGCAGCACATCCCCAACTTCCCTCTACCTTCAGCATCTCTCTCATAAGAAAAAGAAATTTTTTGAAGATACCCCCAGCCCTCCTCTTGGAGGCCTCTGGCTGCTGTTCTATCTCTTTACGTCTAGGTTACCTTACGGGGGGGTGAGTAGGTGTTGGGCAGGGGGGATCCGCACATTGGGTTCATGTGATGGAGGCCGCATTGGTCAGGGCTGCCATGAGCTTCAACACTGAACAGGGCTCTGCTCTGCAAAACAAGTGCAGACACATCATCACCAAGGTCACCAGCCTCACTGGCACCTCTAATAAAAGTCAACCTGCAGAGCACGTGCAACTTGAGCTCTGTGCAGCATTTAGATGACTGGTCACTGCTCCCCTTTAAATCACTCTTCTGCTGTTTTCTGAACTCTCTCTCCTTAGCTTCAGAGTCTCCTGCACCTCCCTCTCAGCCTCATTTCACTGCTCTTTCCTCTAGTGAAATGGGAAGCTAAAGAACAAAACAGAAGAACTGGTTTGAGGGTAGGAATCGGTGTATTTTCTGGGAAAGTTGAGATTGAAGTGCCAATGTAGATGTCCAGTTGGATAAATGCAAGTGACGGCTGGAGCTCCGGCAGCTATTTTGGGCCATGAGGACAAAGGCCACACCCTAGGGATGGAGTAGGACTTTTTGGAAGGAGCCTAGATCCCTGATGACAGGGAGTTCTATGTCAAACCCTGGACTCCTGCTTCCTGACTTCTTTTACACAGACAGAAATAACCCTTTTGTTTTAAAAGCTACTTATTTGGGCTTCCTGTTTTTGCAGCCTCATCCTAAGTAATGCAACTCCCATTACCTACAAAATAAAATTCAAACATAACTTTAAAAGCCCAATGATTTGGTCCCTGCTCAACCTTCTACTTCATCTCTTACCATCGCCCTTCACCCCTAATCTCTGGTACTTTATTCTCAGCCATTCAAACCACACGTCATTCTCTGACTACTCCTCTGTGTCTTTGCATGAGCTTCTTAGTGTCAGGGAGCAGGTGCCCTCCCTGAATCTGAGCCTCTGCAGAGATTCCCATCCAGGAAAGATAGTTTTCTAGAAGTTCCACAACGTGAACCAGGCTGACAACAGACAAACTCTTTTTTTTTTTTTTTTTCAGACAAACTCTTAACTTGAGCAAAACCTGTTCCAAAAAATCCGTGGTTATTCTGAAAATGAAAGGAAGTATTTTTTTAATCCACCAGAGGGAGACAAACCAAAAGAAAACATGTAGAAAGTGTTCAGAAGTAAAGCAAGCACATCTGAAGCCGCCTATTATGTTAAGATTTAAAGAAAAATGATTAACTCATGCTAATTAATGATCTCTTAGGATACAGATCTATTATAATTTACCCAATTTCATAATTTTTAAATTATTAAAATGAGGATTATTTTCTGGGTGTGTAGGTGTTTGTAACTGGCTGCATTTTGGGGTCCATAACCAAACAGGACTATGGGGATTAATTTTAAAGCCCAGATGGGAAGTGGAGGAGAAGTGATCAGAGCTGAGCTCCGTCGAGGCTCAGTGGAGGGAACTGAGGCGGGGTCTCCGTGTGTAGTTTCCTCACCTGTGAAACTCAATGACTGGATTAAATTATCCAGTAAACCAGCAATTCCTGAGTCTCTTCTTTATGTAAGATGCGTACATTATCTCATTTAATTTCCATAACCCTGTAAGGCAGGTACTATTATTGTGATTATTGCTGTTTTACAGATGAGGTAAACTGAGTTTCCAAGTTGTTAAATAACTTGCCTGATCTTATTAGCCTATTAAGTCACAGAGCCAAGTTCAGAACTCAGGAAATGGGGCGCCATTGCTGGTGTCCCGCATCACTACCCTGACCTGTTGTTTTTACTAAGATTGTTCCCAATTCTCACATTTCTGTGGCACTGTGATAAGCACAAGAGTTAAACAAACGTAAGGGTAGTTTTAAATCTGTCATATTTTCTATTTTCTTTCTAAATTCTAGTGCATGTTAGAGCAACGGTCTTGGAAGCAGGCATATAGCAGGCTTGTATGTTTTGATGAAGCTGATGAAAACCTTTATGATCAGTTTCATAAGCTAAATACATTTAGCAACACTGCCAGGAATTTTAAAAGAAACAATGACATTAAGTGAGTAATCCTTTTTTTTTTTAATACGAAAAGAACTCAGGGATTAGTCCAACGGCTCTTTTCTCTTTGAATCCTGCTGGTTTCATTCCAGAGAAGATTAGGAAAATTTAGAACCGTTGTCAACCCCAAAGGCTACCGGGTAACCTATTTCTACATAAAGGGAGCTCTGGGGCTCACTTAGGAAGAACATTTTTTTTTTTAAAACAGGCCAAGTTTGACCTTCGATCAGGTGTCTTCTCCCCTCTGTGCTTTGCCAACATGGCCCAAAGTCATTTCTGACATCCTGTTAAAAATGGTGCTGACTCTTCTAAGTAGAATTGGAGCTATTTTTCCAAAGCGGAGAATGAAAGATTTTGTGCCACTTAACTTTCAACAAGTTTAAAAAGATGACCTCAGGAAGGATGTTGAAAGTGTATAAATCACTCTGTGGTCCATCTTAAGCCCCAAATAGTTTAGAATCACATAGCTTCTATTGTTACATTGTAATACTAGGAGTGTCCAGAATTATCTAAATTGATACAAATTTAGCTGTTTTTATAACCCCTTTTCAGTGTGTGTTCATATAAATGAGTTTTCTCATTTAAAAAACAGCATAAAAAAGGTTGTGTCGAGTGACTGCTTCTCTTATCTGTGGTTTTCAAAGGGCAGCTGTCAAATAAGAGGCCACCTGGATGGCAAGAATTATACATCATGCCAGGCTTTTCAGTGGGAGAAAAGGCGGGCTTGTCAGTCTCACGGCTTCATGAATCATTCCATACCCGTCCACATGCCTTTACCCGTTTACAGAAGGCTTCATTTTTTTTTCTTTGGTTTAAACCACAGTCTGTTCTCTGACTCACTCAGGAAAAAAAGAAATCCGCCATCAGAAAGAGTTCTGCATTTTTTTTTTTTTTTCGGATCTAATGGTCTGGGGCTCAACAGAGAGTGTAGTGTTCTGTTTGGATTAACGTTTCTCAGTTTCCTGCAGCACAGAGATGAATAATGATGGTATTTTCTGTCCTCTGTGATAACAGTGTTTCCCCCAAGCCATGGTGAAGGTTTGTGTGCACTTTATGGGTTTAATTCATATGAAATGATATGAAATAATGCTCACAGAATTAGTCTTCTCCACTGTGTCCTTTATTTCTCCCAGCTGCATGTCTTCAATATTATTAATTAAATTTCTGTACCGCAACTGTTCATTGGCCCCAAACGTCCACTCCAGTTGACAACAATCAGGTCTGAGCAGTTTGAGATCATTTTCCTGAAAAAAGAAAGTGAAAACAAACTTCTGGCTGATCAGTTTGCGCCCAGTCTCCTGAATTTAACAAGGGGGAGTGCAAACTGCAGCCCTAGGAATCTGTTCCACTATTTGAGAGTCTAAAGGAGGGCTGTCCAATATGTCAGCCACGTGAGAAATTTAAATCCCGTAGTAGCCATATTAAGAAAAGGAAAGGAAAAGGTTAATTCATTTTAATAATATATTTTATGTAACCCAACATATCAGAAATATCATTTCAATACATAATCAACATAAATTTATTAAACTGAGGTATAGTTGGTTTACAATATTATATACATTTCAGGTGTACAAAGTAGTGATTCAGTTTTTAACGATCACTCTCCATTTATTGTTGCTGTAAAATATTGGCTACACCCCCTGTGCTGTCCAATACATCCTTGTAGCTTATTTATTTTATACATAGTAGTTTGACCTCTTAATCCCCTACCTCCATCTTGCCCCTGCCCCTTCCCTGTCTCCACTGGTAATCACTCGTTTGTTCTCTATATCTGTGGGGTCTGTTTCTTTTTTGTTATATTCACTAGTTTGTTGTATTTTTTAGATTCCACATATAAGTGATATCATACACTATTTGTCTTTCTCTGTCTGACTTAGTATAATGCCCTCCAAGTCCATTCATGTTGCTGCAAATGGCAAAATTTCATTCTTTTTCATGGTTGAGTAATATTCCATTGTGTGTATATATGTATATGTACCACATCTTCCTTATCCATTCATCTGTCGCTGGATAACATAAAAATGATTAATAAGAGATTTTATGTTTTTTATTCAGAACCCAAGTGTGTACCTTACACTTCCAGGACCAACCGCATTTTAAGTGCCTAAGAGCCGTAATATTGGACAGTGCAGGTGTAGGGGCTCTCCCTCCCTCCCTCCCTCCCTCTCTCTCTCTCTCTCTCTCTCTCTCTCTCTCTTTCTCATTGCATGTAGGAATAACAGAGCAGGGTCTTAGGATGTGGGTTCAAAATGTATTTCGTCAATCACAGGGTAATGGCATTCTAGCTGGACAAAGGGAACAGAGTTCCACAGCTCCGATCTCAGGCTGCACACTCCGTGGTCTCTCACCTCATCTGTCTGGGTTTTTGTTGGTCCTGCTGCCAGCAGGTCTGTAGTCTGAGGCTGTTTCAGATTTCATGAATTTGTATCCATAGCTTGTTCACCGCTATTAGGTACCTGACTCTGTTCAATTGATGCTAATTTCAAAATCATTCCATTTCCTTTTTCTTGGTTCAAATCCCCAGCTCTCTCCCTGCAATTGATTTAGAAGCTCTGCTGCAAAAACACACAACAGAGAGAAGAACCAAGTCAGCAAAAGAGTCAGGACAAAATCATGAAAAGAATTGGGGGAACCCCTCTCAGAAACTCGCGACACCTGAGTGTAAAGGTTCTGTGCTCAGCTCAGGAAGAGGGTGAAAATGCAGGTTCCTGAGCTGCAGGCCAGCCTTCCCTCTCGTTTCTCCTGTTCCCCCTTTAACACAAGACTCTGCCTTGTGTTAAGCCCTTTTCTGAGTAGCTGCAAGCCCAGGGTTGCCCCCCAGATTCTAAATGAGGCGTGAGAGGTGCCTTTATGGAGAGCCCCCAGTGCCTCGACTGCTCTGGAAGGAAATCCCACTGGCAACTAGACTGTGGATGATATATTTTGCCCTCGGGCTCTTTCCTCATTATTTTCAGCAGTTCTCCCCGTTTAGGCTCCATTTAAATGTATTATGGATTCTGCTTGAATGGCTGACCTTCCAGCTTTGTGAGACTGAATTTCATTAGCCTCGTTTCTGCCCGTTTCCCTAAACTGTTTGAATCTTTAGTAATCTGGCCCATTCCTGGAATGTGGCAACTGATACTGCTTCCTCGCTGGCTCAGCTGTAAACTCACCTTCTTACCTGAGGACACCATGAACTCAATTCTCCCTTTGTGGGACAGGTACCCAGCACGGGGTCATCAGGATGGCACAGGGCCCTGCCTTGCCAGGGTGGTGGGCGCCAGTCTGTGTGGGCGCCTGGTCTGGACCCTCCGGGCTGTGCTTCTCCCTCCCCGCCCTGCACCTTGGAGGTGGAAGGAGGGGCGATGGATTCCACATTCATAGACGGAGTTTTCTCTCAATGCCAGGCTCCCTGCCCTGCTGCCACCCTCGGCTCCAGCTGCAGTTTCATTTCTGCTTCCATTTCTAGGAGGGGAGAGGTTTTTCCCTGAGAAATAAACTAGGCGGTGGAGGGGGGTTCCCTTTCTCTGCACTGTCCCCCCAACTCCCTGCAGGTGTCCCCTCTACCCCACCCCGGCTTTATTGATCCGTCAGCACAGATTTTGACCCGGTGGGGCTGCCTGCCAGTCTGGGAGCCCTGGGCTGATTCTCTGTTCCACTCAGTGTCCTGCACTCAGCTTCAACCACCTCCCGTCCCACCCAGACCTGTTCCGTGTTTAACCACAGCAGCCAGGTCTGCTACTTACAAACACGCAAACTCCACACTCCCCCTCCAAATCTGAAAGAATTAAAAGGAAATTTAGTAACCATTTACCCATAAATAAATATGAAATCTGTGCATGATTTTATTTATTTTTTTGAACACTATGTTTTTTTAATTCAAGTATAGTTAACTTACAACACCATATTATCAATAGTTTCAGGTGTACGACATAGTGATTCGGTATTTTATAGATTATACTCCATATAAAGTTATTATAGGGCTTCACTGGTGGCGCAGTGGTTGAGAATCTGCCTGACAATGCGGGGGACACGGGTTCGAGCCCTGGTCTGGGAAGATCCCACGTGCCGCGGAGCAGCTGGGCCCGTGAGCCACAACTACTGAGCCTGCGCGTCTGGAGCCAGTGCTCCGCAACAAGAGAGGCTGCAACAGTGAGAGGCCCGCGCACCGCGATGAAGAGTGGCCCCCGCTCGCCGCAACTAGAGAAAGCCCTTGCACAGAAACGAAGACCCAACACGGCCAAAAATAAATAAATAAAATTTTTTTTAAAGTTACTATAAAATATTGGCTATATTCCATTTGCTGTACATTACTTCCTTGTAACTTACTTATTTTATATCTAGTAGTTTGTATTCTTTTTTTAAAATTTTTTATTGGAGTAGAGTTGATTTACAATGTTGTGTTACTTTCTGCTGTACAGCAAAGTGAAGCAGTTATGCATATACATATATCCGCTATTTTTCAGATTCTTTTCCCATACTGTGCTTTTTTTTTTTAATTTTTTTTTTTTTGCCTGCACAGCATGGCATGTGGGATCTTAGTTCCCCCACCAGGGATTGAACCGGCGACCCCTGCAGTGGAATTGTGGAGTCTTAACCACTGGACCACCAGAGAAGCCATGTGCATTATATTAAAAGGACATATAGTGAAAATCTCCCAGCTCTCTCCTCATAGGCTACACATTTCCCTTCTTACTATTCTTCCAAAGGTACTTTCCGTGTGTGTGTGTGTGCGCGCGCGTGCATGCACACACACACATGTAAGATGCTACTTTCAATTACAAATTTTCTGCATCTTTTATATTTTTGCATTCATAAAAGTCATAAACTACTCTAATTGTGCGAAACATCTCAGAAATCGTAACAATTGTTTACAAACGTCTTAATTTCCTCCCCACAAAGCCCCACATTCAATTAAATGCACTCAGTTGCCTAGCTCAAATCATAGCAACTTTGTCAGTTCTAAAATGCTGCCCTGGTTTCAGAATTCACTTTCTTATTATTTCCTGATTCCAAGCATTTACAGTTGTCTGTAATCCCAATGAAAATATCACCAGGATTCAAGGGGAAAAATGCGAAAACATTCCCTCCCTCATTAAGTTGCCCTTCCGTTAGCAGATTCTTGGCCTTCCTTTATTTGTGCTGGGAGACAGAGCAACGCCAGTGACACATCAGTTCCTGGCGGCCAGCTGCTAATTGTAGCTGCCGGGATGTGTCCCCGTTTCATCTCCAGGCTGTGATGTTCAGTGCTGCCCCAGTGCAGAACAGCTGGTTCCGGCTGGGAGCAGTGGGGAGAATGCTGTACCGTGCACTCAGGCGGAGGAGCGATCCGGACTCCGGCCAGAAGGACTCAGGTTCGCTATCACTGTCAAAAGCGTGCCGAGGTTTTCTGAGCAAGGAAACATCAGAGAAGTAGTGAAATTATCCTCTAAAAATATTCTCCTGCTCTGGATTGGAGAGATCCTGAGTGACAGGGGTCCTAGAATTAACAAGCCAGTTTGGAAGCAGCTAGTAGAATTTGAGTTGAGGTGATGGAGTCCCGGGCTTCCGTAGCAGCGTAAGAATCTGGACATTTTGAACGAAAACCAGAACGACTCGGTGACTAAGCTGATAACGTAGGCTAGGGAGAGAAATGGGCTGATGATGACTCCCTGATCTTTCTTTTTAATTGAAGTATCATTGATTTACAATGTTGTGTTAATTTCTGTTGTACAGCAAAGTGACTCAGTTACATATATACATTCTTTTTTATATTCTTTTCCAATACGGTTTATCCCAGGATATTGAATATAGTTCCATATGCTATACAGTAGGACCTGTTGTCCATCCATTCTATATGTAATCGTTTGCATCTGCTAACCCCAAACTCCCGGTCCGTCCCTCCCCCACCCCTGCCCCCTTGGCAACCACAAGTCTGTTCTCTATGGATGGCTCCCTGATCTTGAGCATAGGAAGCAGCTGCACCACAGGCAACAGGGAAATTGGAAAGAGGGAAACTGGCTTTTTGCAAGGAAGCTGGTCAGTTTGGCTCTAGACGGGTCCAATTTGAGCCAAAGGCTCAGTGGAGAATTGAAGATCTGTAACTAGGGCACAAATAAAAGGATAGGATTGCAGATTATATATATACATATATGTATGCTATTTTTTATTTATTTATTTATTTATTTTGCGGTACGCAGGCCTCTCACTGTTGTGGCCTCTCCTGTTGCAGAGCACAGACTCCAGACGCGCAGGCTCAGCGGCCATGGCTCACGGGCCCAGACGCTCCGCGGCATGTGGGATCTTCCCGGACCGGGGCACGAACCCGTGTCCCCTGCATCGGCAGGCGGACTCCCAACCACTGTGCCACCAGGGAAGCCCTGTATGCTTTTCTTATGGAATATAGTGTTTCAGACACATCAGATGTAGACCAAATAATAATGAATTTCCACGCCCCCAGCACTGGCTTCAATAATGATCAATTCCAAACGAGTTTCCTCCAGACTCCTCCACCCTCTGTGATTCTGAAGCATATTCCAGACAGGGAGAGATTTAAAAGCAGGAAGCACAGAACATGTAGGTTTGGGAAGACCTCAGAGAAGTTTAAAGCAATCCTTTTCTCAATTTACAGATGAGAAAAGCTAAAGATTAGAGATAGAATTAATTTCCTCTAATGAAAAAAAATTGCAAAAGCTTTGCCAAGTTTTCATCTTTCTGAGATGAAGTGAGAAAAAGAAGGATATGCAAACTTTTTGGAAAGCTAAAATTCAATATTTAAAATCACTGTTTGTAAACATTTTACAAATGACTGTCAACACACCCAAAAAGTAAACATTTGTCTTATACTGACTTTATTTGTAATTCTGTCCAATAACACCACATGTGCCGTTATAAAATTGGTCCTCCCACAGCAGAACAAGAGAAGTGTGTTTCCTTAATTATCATTGGTTGGTTTTCACACTGTGGCCCTAGTGCCTCTGGGGTCACTCTGAGTGCGCCTGGGAGACACCGAAAGAGTCCTATCTGCCTGGAGTCGTTTTACAAGTGGCTTCCAGGAAAGTCACCTTGAATGACCTGTCACCTCTGGATACCTACCTAGTTTATGGAGCGAAATTTGTGTTGACTGTGTTAAGCAGAAAATATAGCAAGGCAATAAGGCCTGTGCTGATATTAATTCCAAAGAAGGGCACACCCCGAATAATACTCAGCCTGCCAACAGAAAATAGTATTGTTTTTTTGTTGTTGTTGTTGTTTTTTTTTTTAGTGGTACGCAGGTCTCTCACTGCTGTGGCCTCTCCCGTTGCGGAGCACAGGCTATGGACGCGCAGGCTCAGCGGGCGTGGCTCACGGGCCCAGCCGTTCCACGGCATGTGGGATCTTCCCGGACCGGGACACGAACCCGCGTCCCCTGCATCGGCAGGCGGACTCTCAACCACTGCGCCACCAGGGAAGCCCCAATAGTATTGTTTTATCAGAAAATATGACAGTTCATGGAGCCAACTTAGATTTATTAAATTCATCAGTGTGACTCACAGTTTAAGTATGTGGCAATGTTCTTCATAAAGATGTTATGAAACCACACACACACACAAACTTGGGCTTTTGGAAAAAAATTTCTGATTTAACAATGTGCTTGGTATTAGAAATATGAATAGAATGCCATTGAAAGTATCTTATAAAATGGCACTGCATACTGCAGAGTCTAAAAGCCGCTTAATTTCATTAAGGTGTTTGACATACAAAAGATGTCTGCTTCCATCTGGCAATAAAGCAATTAAAGAGTGAATTCTGTACCTCTGTCACGTAACACAATTAGCAGAAGAGCAAAACAAATGTCTGAGAGCATACATGACTAGTTATTTCAGCTAATTAAAATTTCAGACTGTATAGTAATTCGTCACAAACATCTATTACTTAAAATTTTATCATATGGCTCATCGGTGTAAGGTTGCCATCTCTCCCTTCTTGGGAAGAAGTGGCTCTCATTCAGAGAGTATGTCCTTCCTTCTTGTTCTAGATCTCACGTTCTTTCTTTCATGAAATGAGAGAAGGTAGCTTTTTAAAAAAATAACATCTTTAATTGGGAAAAAAATATTAGCAACACTGGGACCAATGAAAACAAGTTTTAATTTCTGGTCTGTAAATTATTGATATATTAAGGGAGGAAACCACTGCCTTGCAGCCACCTGTCCCCAACAGGAGGGGAGATGGGAGAGGTGGAAGGTGTTGCCAAGATCTCAAGGAGTGAGAGGCTGAGATATGGAGAAGCAGGAAGGACCAGAAATAGGAGTGGGGGGATGGTGGGGGACGAGGAGGGAGGGCAGGGCACTGGTGCCTTCCCTCTTCCCTCTACCCGCCGCCGCCGCCGCCGCGCTCTGCACAGCACTGAGGTCTGGTCCGCATAACAAGCCTGTGAGTCAGGGGTTCCTCCTCACCGCTGTCTCCTCCACCTGCTGCCTTGAGAAGTGAGTCTCCAAGAGCGTGGTCCACATGCCCCACGCAATACAAAACCCGGAACGGGGAGCACGCGGCACGCGTGGCTGGAAGGTGGTGAACAGAGACACAGGATCGTGTGCCCAGCGGTGGGAGCAGAAGCCAGGGTGCCCGCGCGTTAAGCTGACCAGGGAGGTGATGTTACAGCCCAACAGTACTTGTTTTTGCTTAAATACGTTCCCCTGCAAATGCTGATTTGCTAAGCTTTCTTGCGTTTCTGGTCATACTGCTTTTATCTATAAACACGTCTGAGTCTCCTGAAAAGCTGCCCTTTCTTTGGTGAGTATTACCAACACGTCGACAGCGCCTGGTGTATGTGCAGACTTGTGCTCACTGCACCTCTGACAGCGCCCTGGGCCTTAAGCG